CTAGCCGCAAATGTCCGTGCCGTATAGCGTGAATCACCCTGTATATGTATAAACTTACTTGTTTGAAAGAGACTCTCGGCCGAAAACGGGTTGGGGTTGGTAGCAGTTGGGGCCACTGGAGCTAAAGGACTAGCTGTAGAGACCGGTGGAGCCGCCAGAGGCGGCGGAGCAAAAAGCGCAGGGGCTCCACTGGCTGGATAGGAATTGCTATGAATGGGTTGGGCTGGCCTCGGAGGTGCCGGGCTGCAATATAACAAATTAGGGTTTTTTATTGAAATCGACGGAACCAACCGGGATAAATGTGCCTTACCTCAGCCTCGAAGTTAAAGGAGTAGTCGGCGCCGGAGCCCCATTGGCGGGCGTGGGCCACGGTTTAGCAAGAGGCGGCGGCGGCGGAGCAGTTGTGGGGGCAGGAACTGCCAGACTAGAAGACACTACGGTGACGGATGAAGCAGCATGGCTCTGAACGGGCGTCGTCGTTCGAACGCTACTTCGACTCAGCGACGTTACACTACTGAAGAAGAACGGTCACACTCATTGACTCAACTAGCAATTCCAATCCTCTACCTGTAGCTCTCCCGTTCTCTAGCCACGCCCTCTGACCCGCGGGAAACGGCTGCTACTTTCGAAGGAGTAGGACCGTGTTTCGATGACAAATGCTCAAGGGGCTGATGGTGCAACGGTAGAGCGGAACCCCCCATTGAACTGACAGGCATCGTCTGCTGACCTCCCGCAGGAGGAGGAGGAGGTACTGATGCCGTTGGGTGCGCATGGGTTGCAATGGGCTGCGCCTGTGTTACTGGAGCGGGTTGCGTTTGATGCGCCGGCAGTGGCGTCGGTACGTTCGTCGATAAAGGAGGAGTGGGATACGGGACGGAGTTGGGATAACTGGGCGTCGAATTGTAGGCGTAAGGCGCGTACAGAGGCTGGAATTCAAGTCATACGTTAAAGTTAAGTGAAAGAAATTTGGGAAAGTTTTGCAACCTGATAGGAGTGGTGGTACTGGCCCGGACTGGGAGCAACGGCAGCATTGGCTGAAGTTGCTACCGCCGGACTGTCCGTTCGGCCAATGGCATGCGCGACCGGGTCCAAAGCTGCTGAAGGATGATGATGCGCAGCTGGAGCTGCCGCAGGCGGAGGCACTGGCGCTGTAGCAGGAGGCATTGAAGATAATGGCGCAAGCGGTTGCTGCGGAGCGACTGCGTTAGGCGGAACGAAAGTTAGAGGTGACGTCTTATCTGCAAAAAATCAAATTATG